GCATCGAGCGTGTCATTCAAGAAACAAACTAGCCCATCGTCAAAACAATTTCGATCCACTAAAAAGTCGTCCAACCTTTACGAAGCTTCAAAGCCATCGGCAGTTCAATCCCAAGATGCTGATCAAACAAGTGATGATGTTGAGCCACCGCTTCAACAAACAAAACCGTTATATGCTAATTATGTGCAGCCGAACCTGTCTCACCGGCTATTCACAAATTCTTTCATGCCATCTGCACAAGACACACAGTTTCAAAAAAATAAAAAAGTTGAAAGTTTTTCTAGAAAATTAAGCAACCTGTCTGAAAACGAATCTCAGTTATCTAAATCACAAAAAAGAAAAGATGAAAATAACAAAAATCAGCATAATTCAAACATCAACTCCTCAAATTCTCGACCACCTCTGCAGCCTTTTGCTCAAATGAAAAATAAAAATTCAAAGAAAATGTCAATAAAGGAATATATAAAAAACGGCCAAGCAAATCTCGATGAGCATCATCAATTTCTGGAGGTTGAAAGACGCAAGCGAGAGTTCATGGAATCAATGAAGGCAAATTTTAGTTTGGGTAATATTTGTAAAAATAAATCAATTGTTGAAAGTCTGAAACGTTCGCCAGATAAAAATTCGCCACTTGTTACCAAAAAAACAAATTTTTTTGAACAGCCACCTCTATTGAAAGAAATGTCTCCTTGTAACTCTTTCCAAAATAAATCAGACGAAATCAAAGATCGAAACGTAATTAAAAATGAATTTGAAAAAAATAAAAAACTAACGCTCAATAAGAAATTTGAAACTGTAAGAAGAAAAAATTTAGAACTGGATGTAACAGTTCTACCAAGAAAATATTCTTTCAAATATTCAACGCCTGGAGCACTTCCTCCAAAACGCGCCGTTCTCGATAGCACGTTATCAGCGAAGGTGCGCGTAAAAAAACAGCAGGCTCGACCTTACAGACCTCCTCTGGAGAAGAAATTAACTGGAAACATCGTAATTGGACCCAAGAGACAGTGTTTGACTAAATCTTACAATTCTCCTCAATCTAATTCCATACAGCAGCATCAGAAAAGCAAAAAAGTGCATTCGAGAACATCTAGACATCACCAGACAAAGAAGAAACTCTCCCAGCTAGACTTGCAGCATGATTCACCGAACTTATCGGCAGATTTTCAGCAATCTCAAATCGATAAGAAGAATCGTTCAAAAAACGTTGGTTCAAATAAAATGGATACTGAGCAAAAAGACATTAAGAATTTAGCGGAGAAAGAAGTTTTATTAAAACATGAAGATGTTTTGAATTTCCATAATTTTATTTCTCAGCAGCCTCCTAAAAATTGTCGCAACACATTTGGTAACGACCATCCCAATTTCTGTCCTTACGTTGAAGGAAACTACAAAAATTTTCAAAAAAACAGTTTTCCAAGAAACGAATCTCCTAGCAACGCTTACGATCAAAATGATCTGACAAACAGGAACAAGGAAGCAAGTTGGGGCCACGTAAATTGTGCCAACAACGTCAGCCACTTTGAGCCCATTCGTCACCACAATTATTGTTCGAGCAATGATTTCCCCCGGATGTACACTGAACCATACCTATCTAATCCTGCCTCTAAAAGATCAGATCATTGGTCGAAACCGTTCTCACCTGGCAGTGATCTTTACAGGTTCGATCGATCTAACAACACGTATTTGAACAACAACTTTGGAGAAAAACCTTCAAATGCATACATTTATTCCACTAACTTATCCAATTCAATCTATAAAACGTCTGACAACTTAGCGCCCTACACAAAACGCTACAGCGATCCAAGCGCTGATGATCTGAAATGGAGCTGGAAAAATATTCACACTGGCAATTTTTATAGAGGCAATCCTTCTCAGAATTTTGAAGATGAATTCAAACTGCGCGGACATTCAATGAACAATTCATCATATAACTTTCGCGGCGGCCTGTACAACAGCGAGAACAGAGGATTCTGCAACAACAACCCGTACAGCTACGGCAGCAGTTATATGAGCATGAGCAGTAAACCAAACGTGGTTACAAACATGGACAACAGTCCAGACTGGTGCGGATTAGTTGGGATCAATAATGCGAGAACATATGGAATATATGAAACGGATGGCATACCTGGAAATGTTTGCAGAGACGTTACAAAGAACATCAACATCCAGAACGAATACTCAGGCAACTCGAAAAAATATGAAGTAGAAGCTGCCGGTTTGAAGAAATTTGAAGGAAGCGGTGCGTTTAAAAATGATAAAAACAATATTATCTCAAATAAAATTGGGAAGAACAAACTCGCAAAAAATCGCGATGTTAAAACATCAACTGACAACAAACTGATGCACAACAAGATCACTAAAACAGCGAACTGTTCAAAACACCAAACAAAAAATCAGAAAAGTCAAATCAGTTTTGAAACTGTGAAAAACGTCTTTCAAAATTCCACACCTACCAACACTCCCACTACAAATGGAAATCCCGATGCTGCAACTGATAGTGATTGCGAATCAGCCAAAACCGAACAAACAGCCAAATGTTTAAATGTAAAACAAGATACAAGAAACATTCCAGCCAGGAATAATGTATTTAACGAGAAGCCTAGTACTCAACTGTACAAAATGCCTCAGGTAAGGAGTGGCTGTGTGAGCTACCACAACAAACTCAACCAACAAGCCTTTCAGATCAGACGTGGTGATAATAATTTTATACAATCTCAAGCAAACAAAACCAACAATGAAAATAGTGAAACAGCTGACGAATGTGATGATGAGGATGATGATGAAGTTAGATATGAAGATAATAAACCCAATGAAGGTGTTACCTGCGGTTGTCATTCTGACAAAAACTCAGTCAACAGCAGCCAAAACGCTTCCATAGTAGATAGTGTTGAAAAACAAATTGAAAATTCATTCCGTTACTCGACAAACTTTCATGGATATAAAAATCATCGAAATTTTCAGAATATAGGTTTGTACACTGAGCGCGATCACTATACCAGACCTCCGTATGAACGTGGCTATGAAAGCCATCCTGCATTTTTAAAAAATAGCTTCTCCAACATTTGTGATAGATATAGATATAACGGATCTTTCTGCAATGTTAATTATCATAAAACCTTCGACCAACCCTGTTTATATCGAGATTTTTGCTGTAGCAACAACTTAGGTTTTGACCTCATCGACAACGTTCATCAAATTGGTCATAGCAAATGTAGAGGGTTTCATAATGATCATTCCTATGGTGTGTTTCCTCGTAAAATCTTCGACAGCTACACAACTGGTGATTTGAGAGAATGGAACAATTGCCTTCTTCCCGAATGTTCCATGTACAATTTAATGAGGACTGATTTTAATAATAACTGTGGAAAGAACATAGACCGCGTTCATTTTAACGATTTTGATTACAATGATGATGGTGACAATGATGGTGGCGATATTGTTGGTGACAATGATGAAGGTGATGACGCTGAAAATGATTATACCAGGTATGAAAATTTCCTTGACGCTTATGACAATAGTGATGTCGTTGTTTGTAGAAATGATGATAAAGATAATCATTACACAGACGATGAAAATTTGTACAACTATGACGACTTTGATGGCGGTGAATATATCATTTGCAATAATGACTGCAATTCGCAAAATGTTGATTATGAAAATCATAACAAAAATGATAATATCTGGAGCAAGGTGGATGATTTGGACGACGATCCTTGCTACAGTGACAACAGGTCGAACGTAAACGCCAATAGTGGAACCATGTGTCCGAACATAGTTACCAACATGGCGTTTTGCTGCAACGATAGTGATGTCCATTGCAGAGTTCACGATGATTGCAACAATTGCGTGTGTTATTTCGATAATGCTGTATGCGAAGAAAACGAGGTTAGTTCTACAGGCACGCAATCGGATCACCAATGTAAATGTAGAGATGGCAGATCTGGAAAAGATCATAAGAATGACAAATGTTGCGACTGTAACAGCGACAAATGTGGCAAAAATCCGTGTACTAGAAGCATCAAGAACATCAGCGCTAACTATCGAAAAATAATTAATAAATGTGAAAAACAGCTGCTGATGGCTAAAGCAGACAAAATCAACAAAAGCTCTTGTGAGGATTTATCTAGAAAGGATAAATCTACAGATTGTTGTGGGCGGGATCACAGCCAAAAGTATTACAAAGATTTTTGCCGTGGGGACAGACTAATGGCTGACGGCATAGATAGTGGTAGCGATGTCGACAGTGACAAAAAATGTGAATTAGCCTTAAAAAATGAATCCATGAAGCAACTTCTGGTTGGAATGATGGACTACATATGGGAGCATCATGCAAAAGATCAACGTAAAAAGTGCCTGCGAAATAAATGTGGCAAAGACAGCGATGAAGATGATGACGTGTGTAAAGTTTCTGGTTGCAATCAATCGTATGCACGTTGTCACTCTCGACATCCTTGCCACTATTCCCCGACTGAAGATTGCAGCCATCAAAACCCACGTAGAAATGTCTTTACTAAGGATGTTTGTCGTGCCAACTCACCATCTACTGATTACAGCCCGACTTGTGATAAGTGCCCTGAAGTGAATGAGAAAGATTCGTGCTTCTGTGAAGAGGATTATTCCGACTGTAGATGTTTGTCTCACCAGAGACAACGTGCCTGTAAAAAACATTATGGTGATTTTTCATCTCGAGGTTGCAGTGATTGTGACACTGGTTGCTGCGATTGTGATAGAAGTCTCCAACATTACAAAAACCCTCGTGATAATCGAGATTGCCATTTCGAAAAGGCATGCACAGCGTCGAAGCAGCAATATAGCTATGCCTCTTGCGAAACAGACAACCAATGCACAAGTAAGAGTAAACGAAGATCTTGTACAAATGAAGTTGGTGAACGCTGTCATGAAGCAACAAAAAATTGTGGCATTTCCTTCAACAAGAGGACATGTTACAGCAACACCGCTCTCAGAAACAGTGATTGTGCAAAAAGCAGAGGAGCCGACCAGCCACCAGCTTCTTGCGGGCGTAACAAATCTCAGTGGAAGAGCATCGTCGTGGAAGAAAATGATGGCAGCGATAAGATCCTACTTATCAACGGCAACACGGATGAATCAATCGTCCTTAAGAAGTGTTTCATTGCTGGCATTGTTAACACCAGCAGCGAAGCTGAAGACGCCAGCCATCAATATTGCCCCAACAACCAAAAAAGCCTTCATTCAAAAGGCAATGCTTATAAGCGTGACTGTCAAAAGTGCGTTGCCAATCAAAATTTCTACTCCTGTGCTAATGAGGCAGCAAACGTTCACTGTCCTAAAGATCGCCAAGAAAATCTTCCGAACTGTACAAACGTTTACATGTTGCCTACCGCACAACCGACCAATTCCTGTTGTAAACCGTATTTGGATGAACACGACGCGTCGACGAAAATTAATTACATCAAAGTGAACAAGCAACGAATGGTTTGTGAGAGTAGTGAATCAGAAGGAAGAATGAATTTTTACGACGAAATCGATGACTGGGAATGTAATGAAACTTGTAACTCTTTGGAAAACTTGCACGGCAAAAATGGAGACGAATCGGAAATTTATTCAGAAAATGATGATGATCACGAAGGTAACGATCCATTTCCCAGTGATTGCGGGATAGATGATTGGGAAAATAATAGTAATGTTGACAGCAATGATGATTATATGACCCCAAGGGATGGAGATGGTTATGAAAATTACGCTTTTTGTAAAAGAAACAAATCTAAAAAAATTCAGACAAGAATTTGTAATAGCAGATATGTTCATCGAAAAGTTATCACAAGCACCACCAGTAGTGAATGTAGCAGTTGTAGCGTTGTGAGAAAACATAGCAAAAATGATCATGACCGCGCACTGAAATGTGGAAAGTCTGGTGGAAAAGATAAATCTGGAAGTTTCAGCAGCAGTGATAGAACCGGCTCCGAATGTGGTAAGAAGTCATATCAAAATAAATATATAAAGAACAAATTAAGTTGTCACTGTGCCAAAACTCACCGCTGTTACAGGAACCAGAAGAATTCTGACAAATCCGACCCAAGTGATAGTGATAACAGCGACATCACTGGTCACAAAAACAAGCCATGTGGTAGCCAAAATGATAAAAGCTCTGGAGATAATTTGAAAGCTCGAATGAGTTGTGCTTATTTAAGGCATCATAAAAGAAATCGGATGCAAGGGTGTGGAAAAGCTAATAAGAAACATAATTTAATGTTACTCAACAGAAAGGAAAATAGATGCAAAAAGTATAGAAATGAAAGCAGCAGCAGAATATTGTCTAGCAGCTCTATTGATGATAGCTATCATCAACATAGCTCAAATGATATCAAATGTATTCCAATTGAAGACAGACATTTTCGAACCAGACCCAAAAACTGCAAACGTCATCCTATAATCTACAATCGATACCCAGGGCCGATGGTGGGAGGTCAGCCGCACCCACCTAGGCATTATCACAACCAATTCGAACACCACCCTCCTTTTGGTAGGACTGATGCAAGGAGAGTAAGGCACTCTACAAAGAACTATTGTCATCAACCAGCAATGTTTAGGCCACAGCCCAGCATATCTGATAGAAAACAAGGTCCTGGTGGTTTCGATCGACATCCGAAAATAATAAAACCCAGTCCTTGGGACTCAAGAGAAAACCGACCTTGTTTCAGGCGATGTCCTGAAACTTTCGGACTTGATCAAAGATTCTACAAACGTCGCGAGAATGCTTGGAGATATAGTCCCAATAACGGATTTAAATTGAATTCCAGCAGCGGAAAAAATGTCCTTCAGCCAAACAACATCCGTCGCCATGATAGTTTTCCAAGCAGCAGGTGTAAACATAGACACCACAGTGCAGGCAGCTCACGTAAAACTGATGGCAGCGTTCACAAAAAACCATGCTACCAAGGCCACAGCCCTAAACGTATAACATCCAACAGTAGTCGATCTGAAAGGCCTGGTCCCGGCAGAAGTGGCTGGCATGCAACTAGAAGTAAACACCAGTGCCTAAGCTGCTATCCGTGTATAAATTATTGTAGTGATGAAAGAAAGACAAAACATCGGCGACACGCTTCTAGTTCTAAACATTCCGCCGGTAAAGTCAAATCGAGTAAATCCAGTCACAGGCGTTAGGCAGATTGCTGCAGCTTAAAACTCAAGTTTTCTTGCTATGTATGAAGTTTTGCCTCCTATTTAAAGATGAAGATATTTTTTAGATGATAGCAGTTATTAGTGATTATATTATTCTTAAAACTAACAAATGTACATGGTATTCAAACCGGACAAAACTCATCATTGCAATTTTTCAGCTGTTGTTTTTAAATAATTCCCCATATTCCATGGGTAATGTTTAGGTGATGTGAATGTCATTCGTGCATTCTATTTGTTTAAACGTAAATGGCTCATAATTCATCAAATAAATAAATAATGAATGAATAAATGAGTGAATGAATGAATGAATAAATGAATGAATAAGTGAGTGAGTGATTGAGTGAGTGTGTGAGTGAGTGAGTGAAATGAATGAATGAATGAACGAAAAAACAATCAATCAATCAAACGTTAATAAATCTTATCTATAATCAACATGTACGTACAATTGTACATCATACAGACACGCATAAGTGAAGTCCGACTTATTTTAATTAAAAAAATTGTAAAATTCAAATTGGTGTTCAAAAATTCATTTTTGAAAAATAAATCACATCCTCATTAATATATCATCATTGCCATCTTCACTATCATCATCATCATCATCATCATCGTCGTCGTCGTCGTCATCATCATCATCGTCATTACCATCATCATCATCATCGTCACCATCATCATCATCAGCACCATCATCATCGTCGTCGTCATCGTCTTCATCATCATAGAGTTCTGGGTTCCATTGGAAGGCAAATCGGGACAGTTACATACACTGGGCTGGGATGCGTTGTTTAACGAACGTTCACGTACATACGCTTGTGTGTTTGTTTGAGCGTACGTATTAATTAATACACATACACACCTGCACACACACACACACCACACACATATACGCTCACACATACATGTTGAAAGAGAGAGAGAAAGAGAGAGAGAGAGAAAAAGAGAAATAGCATACATGTTGAAAGAGAGAGAGAGAAATAGAGAGAGAGAGAGAGAGAGAAACAGAGAAAAATACACTTTGGATTGTATTGACCATTTTTTGGATTTCAGTCTGGCTTTTAAAGTTGGTTTTTATTTATTCTTGAAGGGACCTCAAAATTTGCATTTCACAATAGAAACGTTTGTTTGTTTTGAAGTATGCACTGCACACACACGCAAACACGCAAACACACAAACACACATATATATACAGGATGAACACACACGCACGCACACACGCACACACACAAAACACACACACATACACACACAATCCGTTTGCTTGTGTGGTTTTGAATATATGAATGCAAACACACACACACACACACACACACACACACACACACACACACATACAGTCACTACATCTTTACTAGATAGATATCAAATATTTAAAGTTTCTCTTGATATCATTTTGACTGGACGGCTGTTGGTTGTGTTGTAAGATTCAGAAGTGTAAATGGGCGATTCGAGCTTCGTTGATCTTTGTTGTTGTTGTTGTAGTTGTAGTTGTTGTTTTTGTTGTTGTTTTTGTTGTTGTTGTTTTTTTTTTGAGTTCATTAAATATTTTTCTGAAGCTTGTTTCATTAACGGTGTGGTTGTTGTTCAACAACAACTACAAATCAGTAATGCAATAACAACAAACAAAACATTAACAAGGTAACAATTACTCACAAACTCAAAACACAAACAACAACAACGACGACGACACAAACAACAACAATAACAACAACTAAACAACACAAACAACAACACGTGGGACTTATCGATCATTTTTTGGCCGTTGTTCACCAACGGAATATTTTATTAAAGAACAAACATATTTCAATTCTCAAAGGACGTTTTCTGCTGTTGCTGTATCGGTGACAACATCAACAACATCAACATAAACAACAACAACATCAACAACAACATCAACAACAACAACAACAAAAACCTGAACCAAATTTACTAACGATACAACAAACCGAAGACGTTTGGGTAAAAAGCAACACATCAAACGCAACAGCAGCGGTAGCACCAGCTGTAGCAGTAGCAACAATAGCAACATCAACATCAACAACAACAACATCATCAACAACAACAACAACGTTACAACAAAGAAAAACATTGCTATCAAAAGATCGGAAAAACATAGCGTGACAACAATTTCAACCCTCAGCTCGTATATAACAGATTGAATTGACAATTTGCTTGGCTACGCAGAATCAACCACTTCAACAACAACAACAACAACAAACAACAACAAACAACAGCAGCAACAACAACAACAGCAGCAGCAGCAACAACAACAACAACAACAGCAGCAACAACAACAACATTAAACATTAAAAATGACATTAATAACAACATTAATAACATCAACAACAACAACAATATTAACAACTGCAAGTACTGAAATAACAACAACAACAACAGCTATGACAAAAACCCGTTTTGCTTTACAAACACAGTTATATCGACAACACCAACAGCAACGACAACATCAACAACAACAAAAACAATGACATCATCAACAACGATAACATTGACGTCATCATTATCATCATCAACGAAACAAAAACAACAACATCAACAGCGCAAAGAACCGTAAATAACCAAAAAAAAATTATAACACATTGTAAACAAGTGACGCAACAACATGGAAGGACATAATTCAAGCCAACACGTCATCAATAATCACGATAACAACGACAACAACAAAAAATAAAAAAAAACCCATGACAATAAGACTCTACTACTCTTACTACTACTACTACTACTACAACTGCTACAACTACTTCTACTACTGCTACTTCCACATCAGCCACAAATTATTGCTATCAAAAAAGCAACAAAAAAAAACAAATCAACAAAACAAAAAAAAACAAAAGCAACAAATACCACCACTACTACAGTTACTTACTAACAATCAAAACAGCCTAATAAAGCAAGAAACATCAGCCTAAAAATCGAACAACAACACATTAGCGTTAGCAACAATAAGAACGACAACAACAGCAAAATCAACAACAACGAAATCAACAACAACATCAACATCGGTAGAAGCTGCCGCAACAACAAACATCAACAACATCAAAAAAGTTAAAAAAAAATTCAATTAGAAGGGAATAGAGCACTACATTAATTACAACAACCAACCCTCCATACCAAAAAAGTACAACAAAAACAACAACATCATTATCATCATCGACATCAACAACATAATCATCATCAACTACAACAACAGACCTCTCATTAAATTTTTTGGTTGTGTTTGTGAGGTTTGTTGGAGCTGATGGTAATGCTGGTGATGTTGTTGATGTTCTACAACTGCTTATTCCGCTGCTTCTGATGATGATGAGGATGAAGATGATGACGACTGTAATAAAATGATGATGATGATGAAGAAGATAATGAAAATGATGAAGTTGATGAAAATGATGATGATGATGAATCTCACGGAACGTTTTAATGTCGGGCTAAATAATTTAAAAATAAATAATTATAAGACATTTCGCAAAAAAGCAACCACCAACTCTCCAACTTTATTATGATTATGATGATGATGATGATTATTATTATTAGTATTATTATTATTATCGTCAGTTATAATTTTGTTTCAAGGATGTTATTATTTAAAAAAAAATCGGTAATGACATTTTCTGGATAATCTGAAAAAATTTAAAAGCTTCTCTTGACAAGTAGAGCCAATTCAATCACATATGATAAATTACAAAATTGAATTATACAAACATACATACAAATATGCAAACATACATTCAACGCTACAAACACACATACAATCCTACAAACATACAAACAATTCTACAAGTATACAAACATTCCTACAATCATACAGACAATCATACAAACACACATACCAATAAAGCAAAACAACTGAACTGAAAAATTTTTCTAAAATTTATGAAAAATATGAACAAATAACAAAACATACAATTATATATACAAACCAAAACAAACAAACATACAAACACATACAAAATGCTACAAAGTCCGCGATATGAAATTTCATCAATATTAAATTAATGCATCTTAGTCGATCTCTAGATTATATCAATTTTTTTAATAAAACATTTTTAAGTTTTATGTATGCTGAAGAACTACCAGAGCAATTTTTTTTGTTTTATGGAAGGTTTTGTATGTTTGTGTGTGTGTGTGTGCATGTATGTCTGTATGAATGTATGTGTGTGTATTTATGCGTGTAGGCGTCTATGTATGTGTGTGTGAGTGTATGTGTGTTAGTTTGTCTATATGTATGTATGTATGTATTGAAACCAGATAGAATACTTTTATCAAAAAAATATAAAATATTCTAGATATTTTTTCAAGTACAAAGTGGACACACACACAGACACACAAATACATATAAACAGAAACACACACATACAGACACAGAAACACACACAAACAGAAACACACACACACAGAAACACACACACGCAAACACACACGCACACAAACACACATGTTTTTGTATGAATGATTACTTTTATCCACTAAGCAGCATGTTGACAGATCTGGAAGAGCGTAAAGTGGCCGCTGCAAATTAAAAAGCATGTAATTCGGCCATACAATCTACTTTCAATTTGCCTTTGTTTTGAGTTTGTAATGTGCTTGTTTGTGTTTGTGTGTGTGTTTGTGTGTGTGAGTGCCTGTGTGAGTGCGTGTGTGAAATTTGAATTTAAGAAAATTAAGGAAAAATACAATTTCTTTCACTTTTTGAAAAAAAGGTAATGAATAAATTTGAAAATCACGTGCTAATAAAATTGAATCTAAAGTAGGAGTGGATGGAAAATTGTGGAAAAAAAATTTTCCCCTTTTCTGACTAATTCAAACATGGAAATTTGCAATTGCTATGTGGCGTTCTGAGATTCAAATAAAACAAAAAGCCTGGTGTGAAAAAAATAATTTTAAATATCTTTTTGTTTGTGTTTGTGTGCGTGAAAATAGCGGGTGTGATTCTGTGTATGTGTGTGTCTGGATCATTTTCTGTATCGTTGTAT